CACAGGGCCATTATCCACAAATCCATGCAAACACCAGACAGGTCTGTGTTCACACATCCCCGACTCTATGCTGACATCAAGACTCTGGAGACCCTGTTCCCGGCTTCCTAGCTTCACTCCCCATCCATCTGTCCATCTGTCGCCCAACAGCCTCCTTTATAAATCGGTAGTCACCTTTGCTCCCAATGGCCGCACGGTTCCCCCCACACCCTCAATGGTCCTTCACCACAAACCCCTTGGGTGATCCCCCAGCCCCACTTCCCTTCCCTCACCTTCCTGTGAGCACCTATTTCTTCATCTACTTAGCCCCTCGTTTTTTTTTTTAATAATTTTATTTATTTTTCCCCCAAAGCCCCAGTAGATAGTTGTATGTCACAGTTGCACATCCTCCTAGTTGCTGTATGTGGGACGTGGCCTCAGCACGGCCAGAGAAGCGGTACGTCGGTGCGCAAACCCCGGGCCCGGGCCGCCAGCAGCAGAGCGCGCGCACTTAACCGCCAAGCCATGGGGCGGCCCATACCCCCTTGTTTTGCTGGAGTCCATCCTGCAGTATGCTAAGCCAATGTGTGACCACCTGGGGGTCAGCCATCACTTCCCCCAGGAGCCTGGACTTCTCCTTCCTGATCCTGTGGAATGTGACCGAAGCATTTAGGGGTCCCAGGACCCCTAACATGTGTGCCCAGGACAAGCTGTGGGGCCCTAGCTCTTTGGAGACACTGGACGCACAGTCCCCTTCCATTATTTCTTGGACAACGTCCCTCCGTTTTCCCTCTGTCCTCTCTGGAACTCTCCAATGGCGCCTCTCTTTTCTCTGTCCTCCCAGTTTTGACCTGTCTTTCTGGGTGACTTGGGACATTTCTCTGACTTGAATCTTCCAACCTCCTGCTGAAGTCTTCCTTCCAGCTCCTGGGAAGTTCACTGTTCACTCCCAAGGCCTCTCTTGTTCTCTCTCATCCTTCTTCAGCCTCCTGTTGACTGGACGCTGTGCCATGAGCAGAGTCCATGTCCCCTCTGGTGCCCCGGTGTCTCCAGGTGGCAGCCATGAGCTGGGGTGGGGGCAGCTCCCCCCAGGCCTGTCTGTATTTCAGTGTCTCCCTCATCCTCAGACACTGCCTCCCCGCCCCCCCAAGTCCCCCAGAGGGAGGGAGGTGTGAGTGGGGCCTGCAAGGAGAAACCGGAAAGCAGAACAGCCGGCAGGGAAGGGAAGGCCATCCAGAGGACAAGTACCTGGCCCTGGGACACAGCCACCCAGCACCCGGCTTGCCTGAAGACCTCTCCCCGGGACTGGAGGTCAGGGGTGCTTTAAGGAACACACGTGTGCGTGCATGACCCCCACAGAGGTGCATCCCAGCGCAGGTGGCTCTCCAGGCCTGTTCCCCATGGTCACCACCAAAGGCCCAATATTATTCCCCTTTCCCTGGCTCGAACACCCTGTTCTCCATTCCTGATCTCTCCCTGCCCCAGACGAGCCGCTTTCTCAGCACTGACCCCCCAGGATCCTTTTGTTTCGCACACCATAGAGCAGCCCACCTGATTCCACCCTGGGTGGGGCCCCAGGAAGGGGGACAAGCATGTGCCGAGGCCTGGCCCTGAGGAAGGGCAGCCACAGTGACTGCTCGCAGGGGGTGCGAGGGGGACTTGAGGCGGCCCAGGTGGGTGAGGGCAGGCCATGCTGGGCCTGGAGTACAAGCGACAGCCAGCAGACGTTTCTGTGGGGAGATGGGGACAAGGCCTGCGGCTGGAACATGGGGAGGTGGGAGGATGCTGGTCAACTACATGGAGTGTTGAGCAGACCCAGTGCTGCCCTCCCGAGCTTCGTCCTGGCGGAGGGGACAGACATAAGTTATCAGGAAGTAATTAACACTTCCAGGCGTTCAAGTACACAGAAGAGAAATCCTGGACTCCAAAAGAGGAAATTGGGCTGGATGTGACCTGGGGGTCAGGAGAGACACTTTAGGAAGGGGAAGGGTTCCAGTCACAGGGACCAAGGCTGGCACTGAGGGCTTTAATGGGGGACACCTGTGGGGAGAAGTGACTGGCCCAGAAGGCCAGTCCAGCCGTGGCTGAGGGACTACATGGGGGGACCACGTGGGGTAAAGCTGGTGGTGGACACAGGCAGAGGGGCCAGTGTGAGACAAAAGGGGCAGGGCGACCCTCTCCCACCTAGAGCCTGGGCAGTTGGCCGGAGGTTATACAGCCAGGCAGAGACCTGGGCCAGGGTCCCCTCCCCGCGGGGTCCATCCTCCACTCTCCTATCATGAGAAATCCCATAGAGGTAAAGCAGAGGGCACCATGCCCCCAAGGAGAACAGAAGGCTGAAAGGGCAGCTGGAAGGGCCGCAGAGACAGGGTAGCCTGGAGGTGGGCACGCTGGGCTGCCCTAGGGGCCTGCAGGGCAGGGCGACAGCCAGGAGAAGGAGGGTCGGCAGAAAGCAGCCCAAGCCGGGAAGCACCACCCACGTGGCGCAGCCTCGGGCTCGGGGCACCCTCCGGGGCTGGGGGCTGTGGGTGCCCGTGACCTCCCCGGGGAGCCCGCGGGGATCAGGTGCGTGCGGGCAAAGGGGGCGGGAGACCGAAGGCCCGGCGGGTTGCGAGCGGCCCTGGGGAGAGGGACCCTGGGGCGGGACAGGGGCGGGCGCCTGGGCGCACCGAGGGACCCTGGCGCGGGGAGGCCGGGCGCTCTCGGGCAGGGGCCCGCGGCCACCTACCTG